TAAACTTTTCCGGAAACGCGGAACACCCGAGTATTTCGAAGCGTACTCGACTCTTGAACACGAACTCAAGAGCCTCATCAAAGCCAAGAAACGCGGATACTGGCGACAATTCGTGGACGGTTTATCGCGCGAAACGTCGATGAATACGCTTTGGAACACGGCGCGAAGGATGCGTAACCGGTCTTCAAACAACGAGAGCGAGGAGTACTCGGATCGGTGGATTCTCAAGTTCGCGCGAAAAGTATGTCCTGATTCCGTGCCGGCACAGATGATTCCTCGCGAAACGACGAATTCGGTAGACGAGATCAGCCAGCCTTTTTCAATGCTGGAGCTCTCACTCGCGCTCCTTTCGTGTCGCAATTCGGCTCCGGGGGCTGATAGGATCAAGTTCGACTTGTTGAAGAACCTCCCAGACGTCGCTAAGAGGCGCATGTTGAACTTGTTTTGTCAGTTCCTGGAGTTCAATATTGTTCCAGATGATTGGAGGCGAGTGAGAGTTATAGCCATTAAAAAGCCTGGAAAACCCGCGTCAGATCATAACTCGTATCGTCCCATCGCGATGTTATCGTGCATTCGAAAATTGTTGGAGAAAATGATCCTTTTTCGCCTCGACAAATGGGTTGAGACGAACCACCTACTCTCAGATACTCAATTTGGTTTCCGTAGGGGTAAGGGAACGAACGACTGTCTCGCGTTGCTTTCCACAGAAATCCAGTTGGCTTTTGCTAAAAAAGAGCAAATGGCTTCTGTGTTCTTGGATATTAAGGGGGCTTTTGATTCAGTATCGGTTGAAGTCCTTTCAGACAAACTCCACGCTTGTGGCCTTTCCCCATTAATTAATAACTTTTTGTACAATTTGCTGTCAGAGAAACATATGAGCTTTTCTCATGGAAACTCTACAGCTTCTCGATTTAGTTACATGGGTCTCCCCCAGGGCTCATGTTTAAGCCCCCTTTTGTATAATTTCTACGTCAGAGAAATTGACAATTGTCTAAGTGACAACTGCACGTTGAGACAACTTGCAGATGACGGAGTAGTGTCAATGACAGGGCTCAGAGAGGTCGACCTGCAAGGACCCTTACAGGATACCTTAGATAATTTGTCTACTTGGGCTATCGAGCTAGGTATCGAATTCTCCTCGGAGAAAACTGAGTTGGTCGTTTTTTCTAGGAAGCATAGCCCAGCACAACCGAAGCTTCAACTTTTGGGTAAGCCGATCACTCAGTCCATGTCTTTCAAATATCTTGGGGTCTGGTTCGATTCCAAATGCACCTGGAGATCCCACATTGAGTATCTGAGACGAAAATGCCAACAAAGGATCAATTTTCTCCGAACAATTACCGGAACGTGGTGGGGAGCTCATCCGCAAGATCTTCTAACGTTGTACCGGACAACGATTTTATCGGTTTTGGAGTACGGTAGTTTTTGCTTCCAGTCGGCGGCTAAAACTCACATCATCAAACTGGAACGTATCCAGTATCGTTGTCTTCGTATCGCGTTAGGATGCATGCACTCGACTCATACGATGAGTCTCGAAGTGTTGGCGGGCATGTTGCCACTATCGGATCGGTTTTCGGAATTGTCCCTCAGGCTCCTCACCCGTTGTGAAGTTATGAACCCACTGGTTATCGAAAACTTTGAGAAGCTTCTTGAGCTAAACCCTCAAACTCGTTTTATGTCATTGTACTACGTGTACATAACTCAGGATGTCAGCCCTTCACAGCATAATCCCCATCGTGTATGCTTCTCCGACTTCGGCAATTCAGTTAGTTTTGATTTATCTATGACGCGGGAGATTCGTGGAATCCCAGAACATCATCGTTCCATGATTGTTCCGTCAATTTACGCTGCAAAGTTTGGCCAAGTTGATTCCGCAAGATCGTTCTTCACAGATGGATCACTAATAGAGTCGTCCGCTGGTTTTGGTATTTTTAACGAATTTCATAGCGCCTCTCGAATGCTTCAAGCTCCTTGTTCCGTATATGTTGCTGAACTGGCGGCAATACACTATACGCTAGAAACGATCGCCTCACTTGCACCAGATCATTATTTTATTTTTACGGATAGTCTCAGTTCTGTCGAGGCTATTCGCTCTATGAGGCCGGTAAAGCACTCCTCGTATTTTCTCATGAAAATACGAGAGCTTTTAAGTGCTTTATCTTTAAGATCTTTTGTCATCACCTTTGCATGGGTCCCATCTCATTGCTCGATTCCGGGCAATGAGATGGCTGACTCACTTGCTAAGGTGGGCGCTATGGAAGGCGATATTTACGATCGACAAATCGCCTACGATGAATTTTTCTTCATTTATCGTCAACAGTCACTCGTCAGCTGGCAGAATAAGTGGAGTGAAGGGAGTTTGGGACGATGGCTATATTCGATCATCCCTAAGGTGTCGAAGAGTTCTTGGTTCAAGGGGTTGGATGTGGGTCGAGACTTCATTCGTATGATGTCTCGCCTCATGTCCAATCACTATTCGTTAAACGCTCACTTGTTCCGTGTTGGGCTGAGGGACAGCAATCTCTGTGAATGTGGACAAGGTTACCAGGACGCAGATCACATCCTTTGGTCTTGTGCTGAGCATCGTGGAGTCAGATCTGAGCTGTGCGATTCCCTTCGGGCTCGAGGTAGACAACCTAATGTTCCAGTTCGGGATATTTTGGCTAGACGTGACCTGGAGTTTATGAAACTCTTATATGTTTACTTTAAGAATACTAACCTTAGATTGTAAGTTTGATTAACCTTGTGTTTAGTTTGTGTATTGTGCGTGTAGTTTTTTTTTAATGTTTGTTTTCAAGATGAATAGAAATAAGTTCATGTTTTAGGATTAATTAAATATTTGTATAATAAATCATATTTCAAACCTCCTTCTCCCTTTCCCCACCCAAAAAATTGTAAATCTCCACTAACCTCGAGACGACCGCGAGTAATCGGTTCAATTCCTTTAACTCTAGATTTAAGACAATAATCATGTATAATGAAAATGATAACTCGGCTCTGTAAAGTTTATTCGATTGAGCCTGTACAAATAAATTAATATAAAAAAAAAAAAAAAAGAAATGTTGCAGGTGATCACTGTTGTAGTCAGCCTAACGGAACGACAGCAGTGGAACGTCCGAAAGATGGTGAAGCTACTTAGAGAGCCTCCGATGTCCACGTCTTTCAGGGTCCTACCAAATTTGTGGTGACCATCAATTCAATTGGTAGCAAGTTTATGCATTTCGTGTTAGTTCTCCATCCACTGAACAAATACAACAGCAAATAGCGCCAAAAGGCAACAGCGATTAAAACCTATTCGTTCCGTACCCTCCAACTCCAACAACCCTTTCGATGGACACCAGGAAGAAACACCATTTGAAAAACAATCGACCCTTTTCAGGGCCACCAATTGAAAAATGGAAAGAGTTAAGATCAGTGTTGGAAAAGTTCGCGATATTCCACAAAGTTCATCAAGGACAAAGTTCACGAGTCATAGTGAGGTTTCGCGAACTTTTCCATCACTGGTTAAGATAATAGATTATCGATCAATTAATTGGAATCTAAAGGCTCAACATATTTGTTCCATCCACTAGCGGTCCTACGTCAAGCTTCCGTTCGTGCCCCTAGGTACAGACCCTTCTTCTACTTTTTTGCCGAAGTTTATTTTTTTTTTTTTTTCCTTTGGTTTGTTTTTTCCGTCGATCTTGTTTTCCGTGCTGAGCACCAATGCTACCGACGTGCCAGGAAGGCAGCTCCCACACCTGGACCCGACCTATCGACCCATCAACTCATGAACCGGGGACCAACGGCTTTACTTCCCATCCGAAGGAAGGCGTGATCAGTGATGTTATGCCTCAAAACATCCCGGCGGCGCCGACTGGGATTGAACCCAGGCCTTCTGGGGTGAGAGGTAATCACGCTTACCACTACACCACCGGCGCCGTTTGCCGAAGTTTAGATGTGATAATTTTATAAAATGTGTATTAAAATACATTTCAAGAACCTCCCCGACGGGGAATTGAACCCCGGTCTCCCGCGTGACAGGCGGGGATACTGACCACTATACTATCGAGGACTTGTTTAATTTAAGGCTGAAAAGCAACCATAAAAGGCCTAATTAACCGAATCAAAGCAATATTTCTAAATGAATTTATATTAGTTCTTCAAGGTTCTTCATTTCTTTTTTAAACCAGAATATATCTATATTATAACTTTGCACTAGATAATTTGTAAATGATGAACTATTTGTTCTGGATTGATGCAGGAATTCAATAAGTTAGAGTTCTTATAGATAGCTGTATTTCAGCCTTTTGAGTCGGACGAGCTCACGAGTTCAAACGGATTCAAACGGTAGATGTATAGACCTGGGAGTTGGACCAACTTGGTAGGCTAAGGATTTGGATTGAATAATCACAATTAGGTATGATTAACGAAAAACACCAGTTTGTTAATCAACAGTTTCCGTGGTGTAGTGGTTATCACATCCGCCTAACACGCGTAAGGCCCCCGGTTCGATCCCGGGCGGAAACATGCTTTTTGGACCCGTTCACTGATTCAATCAATTAATAAATTTCTCTGCACTTGTTTCACCTCCTCCTGCTTTTTAATGTTTCGTAACTTTCATGCCACTTTCGTGGAGCTGTAATGTTTTGTTTACACATTACAAATTAATATTAAGTGTTTTTTTTTTTTTCATTTTTCCGAAGTTGTTAAATGGTTTACAATTTGTAATTTGTTTGTAATTAATTATGCTAAAACTTTGGAATGAAAAAAATAAGCTTTCTGATTTAACTTGACGTGCATAAATCTAAAGGAAATTTGAGACACTCTTCCATCGGTTTCCGTAGTGTAGTGGTTATCACGTCCGCTTCACACGCGGAAGGTCCCCGGTTCGAACCCGGGCGGAAACACACATTGTTTTTTTAAGGAAATTTTCTTTCGTTTGCCATCCACATTTTGCCGATTATTTTAATGGAAAATATTAAATTAAAAAAACACAAGACAATTCATTCCTCTGCGGGTTACACTAAAAATTAGACTTTATTTACCGATCAAAGTTACAATTATTAGCAGTAGAATCGTGTGTTTATGACTAATTCGCGATTGTTCATTTTTTTAATTTTTGTTAATGTCGTCTACATTCTAAGTGTATTGATACACGGGCAAAACTTACTTATCTAAATAGGTTTCTGATCCTTATGTTTAGCAACAAATAAATGGTTCAAATTTGTATTTTCGATTTGTTTTGTCATATATTATTACCATATTGTCAAAAATATTGCGTCTCAGATTGGAGATTTTCTTAACCGCTATTAAATTACCCACTGGTAGGACTAAATGGCATTTTTTGAAGTTACTGTTTGTTATTGTTTGTTATGTTTTTTTTATACACATGTATTATAGTGGATCATTCAAGGTGCACAAAACATTTTCAAGCAGCGAGTGAGATTTCCTCTACATAATACGATTGCTGTTTATTACATTTATTTATTTATTTAAACAAAAGCACACATACATGGAAGTTGATTTAGTCTATCGTTTTACTTATTTGGCACGTTGTTTTTGTTTTCTTCTGAACGTCATTCAGTGCAACATGGAACACTGGTACTGAAATAACTGTTTTGCGAAATATGCTTTTAAGAGAAGTAGAATAACATTACCAACTATTTTACGACTTCGCCGCGCAGATTCCTTCCAATCTCTTCATTCTATGTTTTGGGCAGTAAAATTCCTAACGACCTACAGCTTTATACTTTAGCCACAACATTACCCTAGGACGAAAGAACGGTAGACAGACAGTAATTACGAACACTTAAATCTTTCTTCACGTATAAACCACTGAACACAAACACTTTAGTTATTTAAAGACACTTTTCCGTTTCACTTTATTTTGTTTTTTTCTTTTGAAATTCGTCGTCGTCTCTTCTACGTCGTACACTGTCGGTAACGATCGGCATCGCTCTGGATCTTGTTCAGATAGGTGTTGATCTGCTCGGTCAGACCTTGGATGTGCGTCTCCAGCGATCCTAGCTCGTTCTGGTTCGATTCGTACGTTTTGTACAGCTCTGCGGGTGGATGCAAGTAAGGTGGTTAGACTACAGGAATGTTGCTAGATTTAGGATCATATATACCTTGAAGCTTCTTGAGTTGATTGGTCGTTTCAACCGTGATCTTGGAGGCACGGTTCAGCAGATTCTGTGCCCGTTCTCGAGCGCTCTCCGAAGCGTTCGATCTCGCCGTCAGTGTTGCGTTGGCAGTTTTGTAGTTGTCCTTCAGCTGAAATGGTCGAAGAAGGCAGGTTAGTTAGTAACGATCGGATCGAGTTTTCGCTTTTCTCAGGAAGCTAACCTGTGTAGCCAGATCATGCGCCGTATTGGCCGACTCCTTGACGGTCTCTGCTTGCTTGATGATTTCCTCGGCGTCCTGATCGTTCTGTACGTTACTGACGTGCAGCTTGTTCAGTCGCGTCTTCAGCTCTTCCACCTTGGAAGCAGTGACGTTGGCCCGCTTGTGGGCGTCATCCGTTTCTTTGTCGATCTGAAAAAGAATGATCACAGCTCGTTTAGAATTTCCACTGGGAAATTTTCAATAACATTACCTCCTCCAGATCGATCTTCGCCGATTGGATATCTTCGTTGGCTCGCTTGATCGACTGCCTTGCTTTCTTCTGTGCGTCATCTGCGTCGTCCAGTGCCTTTGTCACCTCGATGGCCTCTTCCAGAACCTTTTCGGCGCGATCCCTTAAAAGAAAAAGAAACAAAGTTGTCAATGTCCATTCCATCTACAGCAGACCGCCCCTGAGAAACCTTACTTCGTGGCTAGCGTGTTATCCTTGAGTGCTTCGACGCGTAGCAGATCGTGCTCCGTATTCCTGATGATCGATTCGACGTTCTCCAGATGGGAAACGGCTTCGTCGATCTGCTGGGCAAGCTTTTGGATCTGGTCCGGATCCAGCTGCAGGGTATAGCCCATAATCTGTTCGGCCAGCTCTCTGATCTTGTCCGGTGTAGCCGTATTGTTGTCGATGATGTCGGTCAATGCCGTCACCACGCCATTGGCCTGCACGATCAACAAGTGCGTGAGATCGTAGTGGGCCTTCGCTTTGTCGTGAGCGCGTTTCGCCTTCTTGAATGCTTCTGAAGCGTTCGTCTTCGCTTGGGACATCTGAAATTGAATTCGTTAGGTTTTCTCTATTGCATGAAGATTTACACTACTCACCGATCGCAGGATATCATCTGCAAGTTCCTCCTTCTCCTTGATGGTCTGCTCGGTCTTCTTGGCGTAGGACAGTGCCTTCTCCGATCTGGTCAGAGCACCTTTGTCGCAAGTTAGTCCACCGCACTTTCCGTCGCATCCCGCTCCTCCACAGAACTCATCGCAGGGATCACCCCTTCTATCGCAAATTCGCTCGTTCAGATCCGGAATATTCGCATTCAGCGTATCTAGCTCGTCCCGGTACTTCAAGAACGATGCCTCGTTGGCATCGTGCAATTGATCAAAATGCTCTTGCTGCTTCTTCAACAGAATCTCCGTTCGCTTGCACTGTCTCTCGGCGTTATCGTTCAGCTCTTGAATTTCCATGTTCGTTTCGCCCAGCAATGTAACTCGGTTCCAGGCATCCCTCGTCAAATTGAGCGCCCCCTCGATGTTGCCCTCCTGCAGTTTGGTCGCATTTTCCTTCAGATAATTCGCCAACTGTTTCACCTCTTCGGTTCGTTTGTTCAAATTGTCGATCTCGATATTGGCATAGTTGATAGTCGCGTCCGTATCCTGCAGCCGCTTCTCCGACTCTTCCAGTGCCTTCAGCGAAGTCTTCAAATGCTGCCGTACCTCCGCTATCCGATCGTCAATGGTCGAAATTTCCCGATCCGAGATCGTATTCGTCAGCAGATCTTTGATGACATCGATCTTCTTGCCCATCGAATCGAACTCCTTCTTGTACGCTCCCGTCGCCCCGAGCGTCTTGATGGACTTGGCTTCCTCGATCGTGCGGTTGGTTTCCTCCTTCAGACCATCCAGTATCATGTCCCAATTGTCGAAACATTCGCCGCACGGTTCACAGTACGGAGCCTCCCCGAGGTATCCACGGGCGCACTGATCGCACTTGTACCCACCGATTCCAGGATTACAGATACATTGACCCGACTCGCGGTTGCACTGTAGCGTGGCCGATCCGTACAGGTTGCAGTCGCATGCTGGAAAATAACGAAATTGTAAGAAGGATTTTGTAGACCCAATCCTGAGGTACCTACCATGACAATACACGTTTGGATCACCCCAGAACTTGGCCTCGCACTGGTTGCACTGACGCCCACCGAATCCTTGCTTACAGGTACACTGTCCGTCGTACTGAAATTGAGAATCACATCGTTACAGAAATCCATCAAAATCCCCCCTTAGCAGAATCTCCCAAACACTCACCGGATTACACTGCTCGTTAACCGATCCAACCGAATCGCAATTGCACGCTTCGCATCCCTCTCCGCTAGCGATCTTCCAGTGGTTCTCGATACACTCATCGCAGTACTGTCCACGCACATTTGCCAAACACGGACACTGCCCCGTAAACCGGTCGCAATGCTGCACCGTCTGGTTCGTTCCCAGCACGTTACAGTCGCACGATCGGCAGTCCTGTTCCAGTGCGTTTCCGTAGTACCCGTCCCGACAGAACTCACAATGATCACCTTCCGTATCGTACAGGCACTGCACGCACTGACCCGACTTGGGATCGCAGTTGCCCTGTTGATTCAAGTCCACGTTATTGCTACAATCGCATGGCTGGCAAATTCCACCCGGTCGTTCCGGATTGCCGTAGTAGTTGTCCGCGCATACGTCACACTTGGCTCCCGCATAGCCCTGATCGCACAAGCAAATCACGTCATTCGCCTTCGGATCCAACACGCACTCGTTAGCGTACGAATGACCGGAAGCAATCGTATCCGGACAGCGACAAGGCCTACAACCAATCTCCGATCCCAACAATGGATTTCCATAATAACCCTCCAAGCAACGGTCACACCGCCAACCATAGGTAAAGTCCTGACACTGGACGCACTCTCCGGTCTTGGAGTTACACGTCGGCGTGTGTCCATTACATTCGCACATCTGACAGTTCGGGAAGTTCCAGAACCCGGGTTGACATTGGTCGCACTCCCGGCCGTAGGTATTCGGATGACAACTACACTGACCGGTTACCAGATCGCAATCGTTGTCCTTCGACCCGATACTGTTGCAGTCGCAAGCCTTGCATCCTTCCGGTCCAAAGCCGTACGTTCCCGGGGCACACTTGTCGCACTGTCTACCCACCACATTGGTCTTACACGCACAGTATCCGCCGAACTCGTCGCATTTCTTCGTCGTCGAACCGGTTGGGTTGCATTCGCACGCTGGAAAGGCAAAACAAACATTAGAATTGCGGATTCACGAAAGCTTGTGCATTGAACCGGGTCTTTCAAGTACAATGTCTCCGATGTTGATATCTTGCCCTTGAAGATGACGGATGTCCGCAGAAAGGGCAATCAAACAACAGAATAAACGAAATGCTGCGATAGACATTGTTTTCCTTGTAGCAGGTTTGCTCGTCTTAGCAGTGACTGCTGGCTACCCTCTGGATTATTTATTAGATAACGACGCGCCCGCTGCCATGCGTGTTCAATTAGAAAATCGCGTCGTGATAAGATATATAAATGAAGTAATTCAGTGTGGACCTTCAATTGAACGAAGCTTAACTCTTGGAATTAGATAGTAGTATGTATCAGTGTTGAGTAGAATTATTGGGAAGTGTAGTATACTTTGTCGACTAAGCAATGATGTTTGCATCGGTTAGGCGATTAGCCATAACTTATTAATGGACTGTCCCCTTGATCAGGGTGAACCGAGAAATCGGGAAAAGCCGGGAAAAAATATACTTCGTCCTTCCTTCGAAAAAAATTAAATGATTTTGGGCCTTGTAAAAATTTCAAGACTGGACAAGGTTTTCAGGATAAAGTCACTTTAAAGAACTAAAGTATGGTTTACTTAGAATCTGGACACTTCATTTATTCTATAGCAGCGCTTCTAGTAATCGGATTTGGAATGTTTTGACAGCGATTTATTTCGAAAGTACAAGTTTCGTCTCGATACGTGCAGTTATACTATATGGAAGATGAGAAAAGAAAATTGAGCCTGCACAACAAACTTGAATTTGCTGGGGACATCACCCCGTGCTGTGGCTTCGGCTGTGGCCAGATAAAACTTTTGTTCGGGAACTCATCTTGGCATAGGTTTCGTCGTCCATGAGAAGACATCCTATGTAATTCGTCAGAACCCGATCGTACAACTTCCTAGCGCGTGTTCTGGTCACTAGATTCTGCTTCAACGTCCTGTTTGGTTGCTTGGACGCACGGAATGAACGGTAACCCCGCTTGCAGACGGATTTTCCGGGCGGTACTACGGCTGGTATCGCATTTTTTGGCAACATCCCGATCCGAGAGCCCTGGGTTTCTCTTGATCGACCTCAACACCTTCCTGTTCAGCTGCCGATCCAACTCATGTGATCACGGAACCGAGACGAAACTTTCACCACACGTGTACTTTCAGAACATACCAAATGCGACCACTAGAGGCGCTGCTATAGAATAAATAAAGTTTCCAGATTGTAAGTGGACCAGACTTTAGTAAGAACATTTCCAGAACAACATGTGAAAAGGGCATACAAGCTTTTTGTAAACAAACCTTCTTATGCCCTTTTCTCGCTACCCATATGACACCAACGCAAACCTTTAACATCACCGGGTAGGGGACACTTTCCCCTTCCCGATGATATTGCTGGTTTGCGTGGGCGACCCTCGGTTGGTGAGAAAAGGGCCTACAAAAGTTTGTTTACAAAAAGCTTGTATGCCCTTTTCACATGTTGTTCTGGATTTTAGAAATTTTGAGGAGTTTTAAGATTGAATGCTTAAGATAACACCAAGGTATTTGAGAGAAAATTTCCAAGAGAGTTTTGGAAAAAAAAACCGTAGGCATCATATCTAGAAGACTGGCAACTTTTCCATGTAACAGATACAGTAGCGCTGTGCCCGAGCGAAGGTGAAAGCAACGCAAATAAAAATTAGCAAATATATAAACCTTTCTTCTGGGGTTGGCATTTTTGCCATCAAATTCGTTCGGAGTGTGTACCTTTGAGCAGTCGTATGAGAACGGGAGTCTTGATAGGTTGTCTTCGGGAAGAATCTAAGGCGAGTTTTGATTAGGACTCCAAGTCAATTGTGAGTGTTTCAGTAAAACAAATAAGTAGCTCTGGAGAAAATTTCATAGCATTTTAAGATTTCACTCCCAGACCTCGCTGTGCAAAATTTTGAAATCTGCATCATTGATGGTTATCAAAATGGCCGCGTGGGGTCATGTTTTTTTACCTATTAGAAAATATGGAGAACTGTGTAAATTTGAAGGAGGAGTGATTGGAAACTCGCTTCTCAATATACAGGAAGGTTGCGGAAATCTACAACCTTATTCCATCGGCTACGGTTCGGGCGAATAAGTTAGGGTCCTAATACTTACGTGTAGCACCGTTGAACACGAACACGCTGACCATGTTCAGCAGGTCCTTGCACTCCGGCCGGGCATCCATATCGTAGTTCACGTCATAGTACGTCTGATTGCATCCTAGATTCTGGTACTCCCGGTACCTCACTTCCGCCGGCGGGTTACCGTGGAAGATCGGTGTAACTTCGATCCTTGGCACCAGTACAATCTGTCGAGAAAACAAAACCCCTTATAACTTCCAATTTCCATTATAAGCCACACACACCGCTGCAAACATACCGAATCGATCAAAATCTGCGCCGCCCCGTTGTCTTTGTACGGATCGTGCCGCTGGAAGGACACGATGAACTTGTACGTCTTGCCGGTTTCCAAGCAGACGTCGTGCAGTGCCACGGCACTGGTTTCATATTCGGATAGGGTCGTGTGAATGTCTCGTTCGTAGTCCGGATAGGAGTTGGCACAGGGACCTTCCGGATCGTACTCGTCCGGTCGTATTACCGACGTTTGGATGTCCTCCCAATCGCCTTTCATCTGCGGAGAATAGCGTACCACCACGTCGTAGTTCATCGTTTTCGGAATGTCATCGACGGTAAACTTGAGTTCGGTGCCTTCGTAGGCTCGGATGAATCCAGGTCCGGTCCAAGTCGGTGGATGACCATGCGGGTGTTCACGAATGACTGCGGAGCAATTCTGTGAATGTTTAAAACAATCTTTAAGCAAAAACCTACTCTACAAAATGCCAATTCAAAACACTTACTCCAACCGAAGAATGATGGTCGCAGATCTAAACCACATAAATGAAATTATTATTATAAAGTCTTTCTTACACACACAAACAATCAACTCACAGTTCCCGGAAACTCCGCCTCCAGCACCTTGTGTAGGGTCGGAATGAAGTAATGTTGCTTGGGTTCGCTGCAGTCCCGTCCCTGCATGTGCGGCCTGCACCGACACTGTCCGGTAATCACATCGCAACTGTTATCTAACGAACCCCCCGGATGGCAGTTACACATCGTACAACCCTCGGGACTTTCCGACAGCCCATAGGTCTCCGAAATACACTGGTTGCAGTCGCGTCCGGTAACCAGTCGCTTACAGATACATTCGCCCGTGTGAACATTGCAGCCAGCATTATCAACCGTACCCAGAATGTTACACGAACAAGTCTGACAACCGTCCGGATTGCTCTCGTCAAAGTTCCAGAATCCTTCCTTGCACTGATCGCACCGCCGTCCGTTAATGTTCTTCTTGCAATGACACGCTCCGGCCTCGATTCCGTTCTCCTCGTCGGCAATCGAATCACAGATACCGTCATCCAGCGAACCCCGTGGATCACAATCGCACGCCTTACACACGTACGGGCTCTGGATGTCCTCCAGTGGATCCCGATAGAAGAACGGAGCACACTCCTCGCAGTGATAACCTTGAGTATTGTGCTGGCAGTTATCGCAAACGCCTCCGCTCACGCGACCCGAGTGTTCGTACACTGCTTGATCAAAGTGACAGCTTGTGGCATGGTTGTTGCAGTGACATTCTGGGAAATAATTTTCAATTACAATTTGATTTAGAAATATTCTCTAAAATTACTAACTTTTACAAGCATTCGTCTGCTTGCCCAATGCCGGTTTCCACGGAAGGTCGTTGAAGAAGTCTTCGCACTCTTCGCAGTTCAAACCCTTCGTATTGTGCGTACACTCGCACCGACCGTGCACCATATCGATCGTATTCCTCACGCCCTCCAGCGGTAGGCACCGTGACGCGTGTCCATAGCAAGAACAGGAACCTCTCACGATCATGTTCGAAATGGCGTAGTAGTACTTCTCCTGAATTTCCTGGCGATCATCCAACAGCGTATCGCCCAACGTGTGCAGCCTCGTGAAGTTGATTCGCAAGTTTGTCATCTTCAGCATATTCTGCACGTGTTCCGCGTAGGGATTCTCAATGTACATCGGTGGCAGCACCCGGTAGATGACCTCACCGTTCTTCGACGGCTCCACGCTCGAGTACCGGTGGTCACAGATCACATCGGTAATGTTCTTACCGATGGTCGGTGCATCCGGAAAGGCAGCGCGGCAGTTGTGTGCAAAGTACCGATACACGTGCCACGTCTTGCCGAAATCGTAGGACCGTTCGATCAACATACCTGCCGGACGGAACGTCTGGAACACGATGATCAGATGGGTAAAGTGGAACTCCGCCTCCAGGTCCAGCTGGATCGTGACGTTTTCCTTGCCGTTCTCTGACTGCCACCAGGATTGCTCCAGGGTGCTGGAATGAGATTAAGCATGGATGTTCCATTAGACTGATGCAAAATTTGACTTTTTCGCTCCACAGTGCTTAAGTGGTTGCAAATCGGGTCGTGATTAGCCTCCAAAAGTTACAACTCATTTGGTTAGAAACAGACTTCGATCAAACCATTTGAAGTTTACATGTAAATTACTATGGGAAATCTCAACTTATTGTTCATTGCCTTCTAGTATTTTTCCATTTTGAGCTGCAAAACAGCTCGATAGCTATTCTTATAGCAGCTACAACTTTGCTGAAGATCGTTTCTATGTAAAACGAGACAGGAAATAGTTATTAATTATTTAAGAGATTGGTAAACTTATGACATGATCAAGCAGCTGCTCTGTAGGCAACACTGTATTTTGCAGTGTGACATAGTAGCCATAATTTTTGTGTCCTATTCAACGCCCCAGAAACACCAATGTTGCCTGCTGAGCAGTTGATTGAGCATCCCAACTAACAATTTTAGCTGCAACTCAGCTTATACAGGCAAAAATTAGTTGCATAAGGCAAATTTTGGCAGTATAAGCTAATCTGCAGCTAAAATTGTTTGTTGGGATGATCATAAGACATCAGTGCATTGAACCATTAATAACATTCGATCCTTGCATTTAATCAAAAAGTGGTCTTCAGCAAAGTTGTAGCTGGGAAAATTTCCTACAAGTAAAGTTGAAAGCTTTTGAAGCAGACCGATATGGTGAATTATTAGATAGACATGAACAAAAATCTTGGTTTTACCATAGTAATTCCCATACAAACTTCAAATGGTTTGTGCCATCTCAGTTTCTCACCAAATGGGTTCAAATTTTGAGAGGTTAGTCAGGATCCGATTTGGAATCGTTTAAGTATTGTGGAGCGAAAATTTCAAATTTTGCATCACTCTAATGTTCCATCAGTTCGTCGTTGTATGCTCAGAAATCTTAATGTATTATAGCTGGAATTTTACTCGGTGTTTACGCGAAAATTTCATAAGAGATGCAACATACGGGATCTTTGCAAACTGTTTCATAAAAAAAAGTACGGTCTGTACTTAAGAGGGATGTTAGGTGTATTTAGAAAAAAATCTTCAACGAGATGATGGCTGAAATAATGGCTTCACCGTTACTTTTCAAATTTGCGATCCGAAGCGGGGGGTGTTCAATATTTCAAATTTTTAAAATTGTGTCTTTACAGAATTTCAGAACAGTAAAGGGCACATCATTTTGAAAAACTTCGTAGTAGTTTAGGGAAACTTCGTAGAAGTTCATGAAACTGTGTAGAAGATCATGAAACTTCTAGAACTGCAGCGAATGTAATACACGGTCAGCTAGCTATGTAGAAACTTGGTGAACTTTTTGAAACTACAGTGAACTTCAACAGTGTAAATAAATTTGTAGAAGTTCAATTAACAGGTAAATTCAGTGAAATTTGTTGATGTTTTAGGATTCTTCTATAAATTTCAGAGAAGTTCTGGAAACTTCATATAAATTTCAGAGAAGTTCTGGAAATTTCAAATAAATTATGGAGCACATATTAAAACACATTATGAGATTCTAATGAATAAAACCGGCATATATTTTTTGAAACATTATTTTAAAATATTTATGTATTTTCATTTGAAATGCAAATTAACTTGAAAATGATTATTATCCAAATCTAAATAAAAAATAGGGTGCATAGACTGAATTACCATGCAATACATTTAAAAAAATAATACTGAAAATAATTCTTCTTAGGAATATTTCAAAAGAGTATTGAGGAAATGTTTAAGGTATTCCAACGAAAATTAAAAAAAAATCTGAATTCAGAGAATAGTTCCAACAAAATTTTGAGGAAATTTCTAAGGAATTCTGAGGAGTATTTGCAAGGATATTCCGGGAATATTTTTTAGAAAATTTAAAAAAGATTTCCAAGAAAATTATGAGTAGCATTCCAAAGAATTAAAGACTGGAACGCCCAAAAATTGGTCGACCAAAAAAATCGTTTTTTTTTTCAGTCAAAATTTATATCACAAAAATCTTCTTATTTTTCTTTTGGTAGTTCAATTCATATAGGAAAAATGTTCGTTTATTCTTTTGGTTTGCCAAATCCGAACGCCAGTTAGATTTTTTCCTCTGTTCGGAACCTAACACCACTGCGAACACTAAGTTGATAGCAAACAAACAACTTATATGCTATAAGCAATAAGCTTGAAATGCCATGTAGTAGCATAGATGTCATTTCACCCAAATGCGGCTCTAGCGTACGTATATTTTACCTCCTCTGAGGATGTATGCATTGCAACTCATGCGAGCAAATTACCACGTTTAAGGTGTATTCAGATCTGAGCGATATTTCTCGCGCAGAGAGAGATTTTGCGAAGGTACGAGGGGGAGAAAAGTACTAGTTGTCTCTCTCATTCCAACGCAAATTTTGCTCCGCTCCGCTAATGTACGCTCAGATCTGAATACACCTTTACGGTGAGAACACGGCAACCCAAGTGTGAGAGAGTGCTTATTGAGAACTTCTGTGGTGAAATCTTAAATCACTCTCTCTAGAGAAATGAATGTAATGTGCTCTCGAGTTCACTCACCTAAAAGCTCTCGAGGGTTTACCTCTCGAGAGACTTCACTGCAGAGCCCACTCTCCAGAGCATAGGTTTGAGCGCTGTTCAGGCATGGAAAATCATTTGCATTCATTCATACATTCATTTACATTCATTTGCCTCTAACTTTTTTCATCAACAGCATTCCGCAAAATGATGTATAGAGCCTTTGTAGGTTTTGTTATTAGCTACAAGTTTTGCTCATAATTTAAATCTGTATCTCTTATGCATCACGAACTAGAGCGGGCAGAACTTGTTACTGTTTTCAGTGAATGTAAAATACATTCACTGAAAAACAGTAGTGGCCTCTGTTCGCTCTGCTTCGTCATGCATAAAAGATACGGATTTGATTTGTTACCAAAAGTTGTAGCTAATAACAAAACCTACAAAAGCTCTATACATCATTTTGCGGAATGCTGTTGATGAAAAAAGTTAGAGGCAAATGAATGTAAATGAATGCACGAAATGAATGCAAATGATTTTCCATGCCTGGCGCTGTTGAAGCATTATTTAGCTACAAACATATTAAACATAAAATGTACCTACTACATATGAGACACAAACCAATCCCACCTAGGTGGTCATTCTCTAAACAGACCTGATAGGACTACGAACTGTAATTAATAATAATTAAAATTTCATAAGAACTAAAGTTGAAAAGACGCATCTGTGTCACTTGATAAGTCATACGTGTAAAGCACATAAATACAAGAAATAAAGATCATTTTAAGTTAAGTACGTTACTACAAATGAGTGTTTCGCGTCGTGCTTAGGGTTACCATATGGCATCCTAAAGGAGGACAACTTTTTCAATAATTTTTCTACATCCTCCTTTTACCCGAAAATGTCCTCTTTTTTAATCTTTGCAATCTTTTCCAGTAACATATTCATTTTGCAGAGCTTATTTGTTTAATTTTGTCGCAACCTCATCTTATCTAGCAAATGCCATACGATGGTGGGACTAGGAGTATACTACAGCTGTCAACCCCCCCCCCCCCCCCTACATTTAGGCTGTGTTCCATTTGGTGAATTTTCACTTAAATTTGACAGATGGAATATTTTAAAATAAACCTGCTATTAGAGCAGACTTAGTTCTGACAGCCAAGGAATCAATTTTGACAGACGCTCTCTCGAAAATCGGCCGATCAACACAACAACAGAGGGATTTTCGAACATCTTAATTTATTTTGGAAGTGTCAAATCTAAGTGAAAATTTTCCAAATGGAACACAACCTTAGGCTGCGGACCATTTGGTGAATTTTCACTTAAATTTGACAGATGGAATATTTTAAAATAAACCTGCTATTCTACCAGACTTATTCCAGACACACCAGGAATCAATTTTGACGAACAATTTCTCGAAAATCGGACGATCAACAACAGAGGGATTTCCAAACATTATAATTTATTTTTGAAGTGTCAGTGAAAATTCATGAAATGAAACACAATTTTTCTGAATTTTTACTAAAATTTGACATTTCGAAAATAAATTATAATGTTCGAAAATTTCTCTGTTATTAGATCGTGCTGTTTTTGAGGTGTTTGTCAAAATTAATTCCTGGTCTGAAAAAATCTGGTACAATAGCAGGTTTATTTGAAAATTTTCTATCTGTCAAATTTAATTTAAAAATCACCCAATGGAACACAGCCACACAGATTGAATCCAAGATGTGTTCGATTTTGACGTTTTGGTTCTATGGGATTTTAGGTATTTCAAGCATAACTATTTAAATCGATGCATCTGATTTTGTAAACAATCACTTCAATCGACGTTTTGTGGCAACTGCAAGCTCACTCACAGAAACTAACAACATCAGGTAGTAGGCGAAAGTTTCCCCTACCTAATGATGGTGTTTGTTTGCGTGGGTGAGTTAGCAGTTAGGGAAGAAAAGCTCGAAGTAAAGCTGGTGGTCCCCGGTTCATGAGTTGATGGGTCGATAGGTATGGTTCAGGTGTGGGAGCTGCCTCCCTGGCGTCGGTAGCATTGGTGCCTAGCGCGGAAAACAAGATCGACGGAAAACAAATCAAGTAAAAAAAAAGAAACACCGTTGGAGTAAATACCCGAGCAGAGAATGAAAACAAAATGAAAACTAAATTTGATATTTTGATACAAGCGTTCGTGATAACATATTTTGCATACCGTGTGGTCGAGTTAACAGTAATCATAACACAAATGAGATCTACATGGTATGTGAAGGATATTAAAAAGATTACAAATCATGTTTTCTTGAAAACAAATCTATGTAAGCGTTTTGATATCGGTAATTTCGTTAACAATAAACAAAATAAGTAATCAATATGTTATTATAACTATAGTGGGAAAACAAAAAATTAAAATTAAACTTAATTATTTATTATTTTGGTATCATGAAATCAAATTTAGTATCTGAATGTTTTAAAATCTATTGGTTGATTTTTG